GAAAGAGTGAACATCATCTCTTTGGTGAGAGTGACAGACAATGAAGTTTTTTACAAGGTGAAACTGTTTCGAGGCTGGTGCTGCTTTTCTGAAAGGCTTGAATGATCGTATAAAACGCATGGTTTTGTTGTAGTTGTGACATAATTATATGTCATAACTGATAGCCAACTTCCTTTTTAAAAAATCGTAAGTATTTTTAAGTAATCTCTATTCTGGTGATGGTATTTCACAGATTAGATGCAGACATTTGTAATGAAAAATGACATTTCAAATAATATTCAGCAGGGGAAAGCAATCAGTGTTTTAAATGCTTGTGGATCTCGGTGTCATCACAGATAGACTGGTTCTCATACCTAAATTAGCAGCATGCCGTGTGAGCATACCCTCAGCCAGTGTGTGCATGGCTAAGTATTCAAACTAACAGCATTGTTGAGATCATCCCATCTTCTCATTTTGGGTAAACAGTTGTGAGAGCACAGCTATTGTTGACTGTGCTTAAAGGAGCAGGAATAAGCCCTGGTCAGGAGTTGGAGGAGGAAGAAAAGGTTGTGGGCCTCATCTCAAAAAGTATTGAGAAGCCGAAAGGCCTTCCCATGTCAGCGAGAGCAAGAAGTGCTCAGCACTTTCCAGCTTCAAAATCTGTGTGTTTGGTACAAGTATCAGGCCATCTTTTCATCCGTTGTCCTGTCTCCATTAGTTATTGTAGTCTATTTCAGAGTGCTGAAGAGGCCTCAGCAGAAATGGATGAGGCAGCTGGATAGATGCAGTACCCAAAGAGATGGTGTAAATGCTTCCCTTTCATTACAGCATTTCTCAGTGTAACTTTTTAACATCGCAAAATGGCAGCGTTAATGGGGCCCTCATCTTTCCTGGAGATAATGAAAGGGTAAGGAAAGGTAGTTGGAGATATGGAGGGAGAGAAATAAGATATGGGTATTTTTGATACTGCTAGTGGGTTTGAGGGAAGAGGAGGAGCACTTGCTGTTATAAAGAAATTTCAGCATGTGAATAGATGCGTTAAGACTGAGCGTTATGGAGAATAGGCTATGCTCCAGCTGATGGAGAGAAGGGTCAGATGGGGCTTATGTTTCTCTTTTTAAGGCACTGCCAGTTCAGTCCGTTTTAGAAGCATCTGTTGAGGCTTTGCATTTTCTCCAAGCGTGGCAAGAGACAGTTGGCATTTGAACATCAGTTAGATCCTTCATTGAGTTCTGTTAGAAATTGTGCTGCACTTACCCTGCCAGATGTGCAGAGCCGTGACAGTAACACGAGGCAGGCAATGTTCAAACAGTAAATATCCTTTTGTTAGTCGTGTTCAACTGTGTAGGCTCGCGCTGAAGCAACTGTGTCTACAGTGGTGCACTGGTTCATTTACTGGCAAGTGATGGCAGCATAGTACTGGGATAAATAGGAGAAACTTCCAGATGTTATCCAGGTGCTTATGTGTGGCAGAGGAATCTAATGGAGTGACCACGTGGACTGTGATTCAAAGGGACTTTTATGCCATAGCAGCCTTTTGGGGGTGAGTTTTCCATCCCTGTTTGATGGTCTTCTTTCAGGATATTGAGAAATGGGATCTAGACAAGATTCTTGAGGAGCTGGAGCAGCAGAAGGATAATCACACTCACTCAGAGGAAGTTGCTTTCTCTTCAGCAGATCATGGTAACACTGCAAAACTAATACTACCTTTGCTGAAAATGTGTAAAAATCAGCTTCATGGTTTTTTATTAAGTCATTCCCTGCAGCATACATAGTTGTGCTTTGATTGCCTGTTCAAAACATCCCTTTTAACTAAATAGCTCCCCTCAAGAATTTATTGTGCTGCTTGAGCTTGAAAGCAGTGCTTTCTGGCCTGTCATGGTCTGAGAGGGAATCAGGGACAAGACAAATGAGGGTTTGAAGTGAGTTTAGTCACAGCCAGATGGCAATAAGATCTTTATCACTCCCCTTCTTCTGACAAACTATAGAGAAAGTGACAACGGGAAAAGGGGCGTATGGGGTGATGCCATGGCAGAAAGATCATAACTGATCTTTTTTCTTTTGTTCTTCCATAGAGACCTTGAGGGGTAGGTCTGAAAATCAGCTCATGGAAAAGCTAGAAGAGCTGTGTGCCAGGCAGTCCAGGACGTTATCTCCACACTGCAAGTGGCCATCAGCCAAGCTCTGTTCCTCCCAAGAACAGCAAGAGAATAAGAAGTAGGTCCTCTTCTCTAATTGTCACATACACTGGGTAATCATTAGGGCAATGGGAATGCCTGGAAACTCACGGTGTCTCATAGGTCCTTTTCTCTGTAGACTTTGCAGAAAGTTGATATCGTAGTTGGAATGTTTTACAGTGACATTAAAGGAGAAAAGTAAGGGTCAGTCATTCATGTTGTATGTTTGATGATAAAGAGTATACTGCCACTTTACCGTTCTCCATCAAACACCACAGCTTTGTCTAGATCCTGTAGGACATTTTTTTAGCACTGCATTCTCCATGCTCTGGCAATGCGCTGTATGCACAGAGAGCTTACAGTCTAAAAGGACGGACATGTAGGGGTGGAGAACAAGGTTGAACAAATAAATGAGCGAGATGATAAGTGGCCGTATTTTTGTTGTTCAGAGTGCATGTAAGGTTTGCAATTTCTCTTATTGGTCCTTCGATTTAGCTTAAATATACTGAGTAATTTTCTATAGGTGTCAATGTAGATGTCAGTGCCTCTCGGGGAGGGCTCTGTGTGAAGGAAGAGACCTCCAGACAGTTCAGAGAGAACAACATTGATGGCAGTGTGGAGTGAAACAATAGTGAAAGAAGCCAGTAAAGTGGAAGATGAAAGAGGATGTCATCAGCAGAGCAGAGGGAGCTAAGAAGATGTTTGCACTAAGTATAGTCTGAAGGATAGGATAAAATTACCAAAGAAGGCAGAGAGGAAAAAGGGACTCGGGGCTCTTTCAAAACTTGTATACCCTTTGGTAAAGCAACTGTCTGCCTTCCTGTGTTCTACAGTGTAATTTGACAATATGACACGCTTGTCAGTTTTTAAGAACTAAAAATAGATCATAGGCGGCATGAGGAGGGGTATTCCTAGGGGGAAACTGAATCTTTGTGTTCAGCTCTGAAAGTTGGTGGTCAGTAGACAGAAGCTGAGTTTGAATCTATGCCTTAGCCAAACACACAGTTCCTTTCTCAATCCAATTTTGATCATAACCCATGTCCTGCTGGACTTCTTGTCTGGATAAGGAGGAGGACATGCTGAAACAGTGTTTTCTGTACTCAGGGATGTTGCCTTCCTGTCGTCTTCACCAAATTCTCTAAGGATGGACGGGATGAGATTACAATACCCACCAGAGCCTCTAACAGTATACATTGATTTAAGAGATACTGAACCACAGAAGTCAGTATCATTCCCTGATGAGAAACAAAGGTAAATTTTGGCTTTACTGTTAATAAGTGAGCTACAAAAAGTGGGAAATTAAAAGTTATGCTTCACTATGAGATGCAAAGAGAAGGTTTCAAAGTTTTCTCTACTTGTCCACATCTCTGTGACCTTAAGAGGAAGGCATAGCCCCTAGTTGAGCGTGGAAGAATTCTCAAGAGAGAATAACCTGCCTCAGAACAAGCAGAGGTACAGGCAGCATAGAAAGGGCATGCAAGTCCTCCAGGGAAATAACATTTAGAAAATTTTCTATCCCTGAAGGAGTGAGCAGTGACTGCAAAGCAATGCTTGTAGTTGCCTGTTGGAGTTGGACTAGTATTCTGACAGCACTGTGTAAAAATGGAAGTCCTTCACTACATTCCTGGCCAAGCAACTGTTGGTGCTGGTTTCTCAGTCTCCTGTGAGATAGGAGGGCCCTATAGTCAGTTCTGGGATGCCAGATTCTTCTCAAAGTCTGCTACAGATTCTGGCAAACATGTCCTTGTAGAGCTAATGGAGTCTGAGGTAGCTGTTTGTTCCCTTTTCAGAATGCGTGCTTGCTATGGAAAGGGTTTGAAGAAAGCAATCACTGGAAAAAAAAAATTGTAGATAATAAACAGCTTTAAACACCTTCAGCTAACACATTGTGGTTCAAAGGTATTGCTTGAATATTTTTTGCTGGAGTGATAGTATGAGTACCCGTCCATAAGACCTAGAGATCTTCCCTGAAAGGGTCTTTCCTTTTTTTCCTAATGTTTTTAAATTTGCATCCTAGAAATGACTAACAAGCCAAATCCAGTGTGAACAGAGTTCACTAATACTCTGGTGTCTCATTTGTTTCATAGTGGAAGTGACAGCTCCACTGAAGAAGAAGAAACTATTACAACTAAGGACCAAGCAGAAAGGATAATGTAAGATTCTTTACCAGAACCCCAGTTCAAATGACATAAATGTCCATTTTTTCTTGAAATTAAAATAATTCCCTGAACGGTGATTAGAGTGAAAGCTCACATACTGAAATATCTCCATTTGTGGTCTTCACAGCAGAAGTACGCAGTCTAATAATAAAAACAAAGTGGCCTCAGGACATTGCTGTGTTCTTTCTGTTGCATAGTAAAGATACTGAAGTTAGAAAATAGTTGTTGATGCTTGAGGCAGTACAGCACCTTGCTCCTTTCAGCTATAGGGGAACCACTCAAAAGACACATACAGGGTAGACATGGGTAGTTGGGACCTTGGCTCTTTTTTCTGCAGAGATGTTTGAATGCCATGAGAAAACTGTTTTTTCAGTGACTCAGAACCAAACTTTGAAAAATGTTTTAGAGGGTTGACTCAGACAAACCTTTTATTTTTAGAAATAATGAAACAGATCTAGAAATGCATGTTGATTTAAAGAGGTTATTGAATACATTGAGTGGGTAGGGAAGCTCACAGTTCTCCTTAATTGTGGAGGTATATATAGTCATGGAATCCTAAACTGTAAATCTTCAATATGCAGAGATGCCATCTTTTTCCTGTTACTAAGCACAGGACTTGATTCGTACCCATAGGTTGTTAGACTTTTGTTTAACTTGAAGCAGGTATGTCAAGTTTTAAACATCTTACTGCATTTCTGCTCTTGATCATCTTTAGATATCTGATGCATGTAAGCTCACATTACAGCAGTACAGAGGACAAGCAGATCATTTTGTATTGTTGTGCTGACCAATTACTCTTACTCTTTTTTAGTAGTTTGAAAGAATAAATGATTTGCCAAGGCAGAGAGCCCAAACAGTGTAATTTAGAAGTTTAGAACACCTAATCCAAAGCCAGCATAAAGCAGGAACGTGAAGATATTTGGAAACTCTCACTGGCACTGATGCAAATTCAGAAGTTGCATCAGTGTAAATCTGCAGTGATGGAAAGCAGAGCTTAGCTGATTGAATTTTCATTAGTTTTAATGTTGCTAGAATAAATACACAAATGAAATGCATGGCAAACCTATTTCTGTTCTGTGAACAAATAAGGAAGCCTCATCATCTGAACAGGGCAAGATGCTGATCTCGTTTACTTGGAGACAAGGCTAATTTCATTCTTCTCATCTGGGTGGAGTTATTCTTAAACTGGGCTACATCTTCCATAGCATAATATATCTACATGTTAGGGCCTTGGACAGAGAGACTTCTGAAACTCTCCAGGAGCTTGCTTACTCTGTAAAGTAGGCTGTTGGCTTATGCCCAGAGCGGTCAGTTGGTCAGGGCCATCTCTGCCAGTATACCGCATGTGGCCTCAGTCCGATATGTGCCTCTGGACTAAAATTCCCACTTTATTTCCTGAGTATTTAGCAGGACAGAGTAGGCAGAAGAACATGATACAAGTTGTTTGGTTGTCCCTCTAGTCTTCTTAGAGACAAACAAATCTCAGTAATCCTCAGGAACTTGTAGATGTGTGAGTAGAATCCCTCTTGCTGTCTCACCTCCTCTGTTCTTGTTTGTGACTTATTCTGTGACAAAGCTCAAAGGGTCAGTGCTCCTCGCCCAAGGTCTGCATTACCCTAGAGCACTGACTGTGTCAGAACGTTCTTCTAGATACACTACTCTCAGGGAAAGGCCAGGAAAGTAATCAATCGCCATGAGCGTACACCTGTGTAGATGTCTTGTATGGTCACAGCTTACAATCTGAGACGCTCACCTCGGGAGTGCTGAGGATATCATATAGTTCTCATTTACTGTCCTTGGTATCCGTCAGGGAAGGTGTCAGCACGTCCACTCTGCTTAAGTAATATTCCTCGGTAGTCCAGCCATCGGTGTTTGATGTTGATACGATGGTTCTTAATTAGCAGGAGGAGAAACGAGATCCTTAAAGCAGTAAAATGTTCTCCATCTGATTTTCTCTACATTCCAAATTAGACTTACACTTCTTGGGTAGGTACAGCATATGACGCTGTACACTTACAAACACCACCTAACCACAACATCAACATTCAGCTCAATCAGTCTGTCACTCAATTGGTATTTTTCACCTACCACTGAAATGAGGTGTATTATTTGCTTATAACCCCCGGATGAGCTACTGATTAGTGGGAGTCGTACTGTATCAAATAACTTGGGAGTCTCATCATCACTGAACAGAGCTGCAACACGGAATAACCATATCCTCATTATGCCATGGGTAGGACATTTCACAGCAGAGTACAATCTCAAGATTATGATGCTGACAGTTACACAGTCTCGTTAATGTGGAGGACACACAGGTGAAACAGAGCCAAATACTCCAAAATCCTAGGAGTTCCTGGAAGAACTTTTCCCTCTGTATATATTTGAAACCCAACTGCTATGTCCAAAGGGGAAAAAATTCTGCAGAATATCTAATTTCCATGTAAACATTACATTTGTCCAGGGTTCTTCCAGTAGGTGTTTTTTATCCCTCTGCCTGAAAACCAGAAGAGGTAAGTGAATTGCCGGTCAGATCCATTTCAAGTTCTGTCGCTGTAGTGTTGTATTATGTTGCCTGTGTGCCAGTGCTGCTATTATCAATAGCCACTACCCATATAGATGTGCAGTGCCTGTTTTGAGCGATCACTCAAATGAAAGGTTCCTCAGTGTGTGAATTTATTCTCTGTAAAGTTCTAGCGTGATTACATCAGTTTTGTGTTTTCTTTGCAGAGAGAATTGCTCAGGGAAAAGCCTGCTGCTGCGACAACTGCGTGCAGTCCGTAAAGAAGCCTCGGGCTGTCTTTGTAAAACATCTACCCCGAATGAAAGACTTGAAGGTCTAAAGCAGGATCCCGAAATTTTGGAAGAGATAGGTGCCTTGAAAGTCAGACGAAAACGATATTTTAAAGTGAGACAAGAGACAAACAAGGTGATTTCCAGGGAACTGATGAATTTGGAACCAGAGAATGGAAATGTCCCCTTGTCAAACCATGGGGGCAGTGAAGCTGACTCAGAAAGGGAAAACGGAACGGAGACTGAAGTGGTTCAACGTTCAGGAAATGCTCCAGAGTCTCCTCTAACTACAACAGAATTGCTAAGGTACTACGCAAGAAAAAGTCATCGGTGATTTTGATGGCAGCTTTTCTGATTGTTTAAGAGGAAAGAACATTATTTGTTACCTTGTCTGTAACTTGAGGAACAAGGATTTGCCTGGGTTTGTTGCCTAGAAAGGCAGTCAAGCCTGGCAGCTATTGTTTAACGGTTTTAGAGGCAGCCTGACTTAGTAGACCAGAGAACTGGCCTGAGATTAGGTATGCTTTGCCATGGCACCATTGATGTCATAATTTTAGCCGTTTTCTTTAGTTTTGATTCTGTGTAAAAGGAGGATAATGATATTGATCTCCTTTTTGAAGAAAATACTGATACCTAATAAGCATAGCATCATAGAAAATAGGGCTGGAAGGGACTTGGAGATCACTTTGTCCATCTCCTTCTACCAGGATAGATTAAGCTGTAATCTAGCTGTAATCCTTTCCTGGCAGATCTTTACATAACTTGATCTTGAAATCTTCAATCATGAGGATTCCTTGACTCCCTCGGCAGTATATTCCGCTGCTTAATTACCCTTACAATTGTAAAGCTTTGCCTCAAGTCTGATTTAAATTTTTCCGTCCCCAATTTAAGCTTATTACTTCTTGTCCTGTTCCCAGGGAATGTGAAAATGGTTTACTCCCTTTCTCAGCATAAAATGTCTTTTACGCATTGAAAGACATATCATGTCTCATCTCTTAACTTTTTTTTCCAAAAAAAGCAATTCTGATTCTTTGTTTTGCTTCATGAGAATTGCAAAAGCTTGAAGGTACAATTTCTTTGCTTTTCACAACGTATACCTGTGAGGAACTGACATAGCACAGGAATATCTTGTAAAGCTAAAAAAAAGAGAAATAGCAATGGTATCAATTGAAGAAATCAGAGAGCTTACTCCAGTATTTGGGCCTCTGCCTGGTTGGGCTTAGTTTAATGTGATGCATCCTGCAAAAGGTCTAATTTTAAGATGAAATCAGGTAGCTGCCTTGTGCACCTGCCCAACTAGATGGGAGAGCTCCCATCATACTGACTTTTGAAAGGTTATACTAGCTGCCTGTTATTTTCAGGGTGAAGTTTAACATACTGACTTTGACGTATGAGCTCTTGAAAGAATTAGAATTTGCCTGCTCCAGAGACTATTGCTTTTGCAGTGTTAAAGAGTTGCCTAAACCCAGCCACGGAGACACTTCAGCTAAGATGTACTTGGTTTAAATGGCAGATAAGTTGGCAGATAGTTGGCTACAGAGTGTTTCTCCAAGGGGCTCTTGACATTAAAGCTCATTCCTCCCATCAGTTCAATAAAACTCCCGTTTGTTTACCTGTTAGCCTTCCACGAAGATGGCAGACCATTGGCAAGAATCTGGGTTGTTTGTTATTATTGCAGTGAGTAAGAGCTCACACTGATTTGAGTGAATTTCAGTTCTCTTTCTGGCCAGCCTAACCATTGTTGGGGCACCTGGAGCTTAGATGAAGAATTCTGAAGAAATCAAACTTAATTTTTGCCATGGGAAGGACAGATAAAATCTTACTGCAAACATCAAAATATGCAAAGATGGAAAGTCTTGGTTCAGAGAAAGCTTGTCACTGTATTATAGCAGATGAGAAAGGAAAGGGAGTTAGAGATCCACTGAGAATTCTGGTGTGAAAAAGCAGAGTGAAACATCAACAACAAAGCTCTGCTGACTTCCACTGTTTTGATGGTATGTTCCAGTCCCCAGATGAGTGATTGTTACCACTAGTCGGAGATCTGAGTTTGCTCCTTATCTTTTGTTGTTTCACAGAGACATAATTTTACCCAATCATGTTAAGTCCTTATGCTCCCACAAATACCAGAAGTGCTTTCTGAATCTATTTTAGCCTTTTTCTCCTAAGTAAAAAATAAAGCAAAGAAGAATCTGTGTATTTTTCAGGAGAGAAGAAAGTAAAAGAGAGCTATCTCAAAAGGAAGTACAGATGAAAGAAAAACACAGGAGAAAGAGCTTCCAGGAGCAGCTGGAGAGATTGCAGCCTCAGCACTCAGTTACTGGAAAGCAGCCCATGGCAGAGAAAACACCTATTTTGTTCCACATGGTTAGTAGTTCAGTGTAGGACTATCCCTTTCAGAATGTCTTCCTGACCAAATGCAACTGTGATCCGAGAAGCAAAAAGTCATTTTAATTGTATTATTTTAAATCTGTGTTTATTATGGAGTAGCAATTAGATGAACAGCCTGACAGCTCTTCTCTCATGCTAATGATACCTTAACCTTTCACCTTTCTTATATGGGGAGCACTCACAAAACTGCCCACTCCCCTTCCGTACTTGATGTGTGAGGGCATATGGGAAATCCTGGCTTGCTGAAGTCAATGGGCTCAGTGTTATCTATGGCAGTGGAGCCAGATTTTCACACATAATTTTCATAAGTTTTTAGAAAAACTGAGATATTTTTACTGTCATACTTTTAAAGCAAAGCCTGTGTTCTGGGTTCTGTCTGGCTTTCTGTCCCTCATAGCTTTTTTTTGTGTGTGTGTGTGTGTATATGTGAATAAGCAGTTGATGAGGATTGTGGCTTTAGTAGTGGTTTCTGCTTTTGGCTGATGCTGTTATTAAGGGAGTATGAAGTTATTCTGATTTTTGAAAGCCCAAAACACATCCCAGAAGACTGGGCTGTTTCTCACTCGGATAAGATTTGACCACCTAGTCCTATTTCAATCTGGCACTGATTTCATGGAACAGAAGGCCAGCTAAGAAGGTAAGAGGAGGTAAGAGAAACCCCAAAATCTGCCAATGGGTCCACTGTAAAGATTGATTAGGGTTAATAGCAATAACAAATCTTTTCTGTCACTGCAAAAGTTGAAAGACCTTACAGGCTTCTGACTGGGGGACAGGTTCACGTGTTTTGTCAAACAATCAACTACTGTGTTTCTGCAGATTAAAAAGCTCATTGATCAGCGAACTAATCACTGATGAGAGGTGAAGGACTAAAATTGCCAGCTGAAATTCTCTCTACTGACTTGCTCTCGTAAGGACAATGCCCTGCACAGACCTCTGTTCCCTTAGCTCCTTTGATCTCTGTTGTGAAGGCTGTAAATACAGTCTTCAGACCTGCTTGGTTCTCAGTGTGCTGAAAGTTGCCACTGGCAATTGCAGTTAGCCCTCATTAAGATGCAGGCACTCGCTCATTAGAAATGTACTTGGGTCTTGCTAACTCATTCCTCACATTGTACCAAATGATTGCTGGATTGCGCTGAATTTTGGGCATTTCTCATGTTTGCTAGACTGAATCACAGAAAGGTTGAGGTTGGAAGGGACCTTTAGAGATCATCTAATCCAACCCCCTTGCTCCAGAAGGGTCACCTAGAGCACATTGCCTAGGATTGTGTCCAGACAGCTTTTGAATAGCTCCAAGGAAGGAGACTCCACAACTTCTCTGGGCAACCTGTTGTAGTGCTCCGTCACCCTCACAGGAAAAACGTTTTTCCTCATGTTCAGAAGGAATTTACCTTTTTTTTCAGTTTGTGCCTGTTGCCTCTCATCTTACCACTGGGCGCCACGGAGAAGAGTCTGGCCCCACCCGCTTTACACCCTCTCTTCAGATATTGAAATGCATTTGTCAGGTTCCCCCTCCCCCCCATCTTCTCCAGGCTGACCAGGCCCAGCTCCCTCAGCCTTTCCTCATAGGAGAGATGCTCCAGTCCCTTAATCATCTTAGTGTTGTCCCAAAGGAAGGGTTCTTTTACCCGATGTGCAATGAGCTGAAAAACACGCAGAGTTGAGATATTTTATTTAATTCATATCTGCACAGAGATGGGTGCTAGCTTTGTGGAATTACCGCCTAGCACCCCAACAACATTAGTAGCACTCTGCTGGACTCCCTCCAGTAGCTCCATGTCTCGTACTGGGGAGCCCAGAACTGGACCCAGTACTCCAGGTGTGACCTCACCAGGGCTGAGTAGAAGGGGAGGATCACCTCCTTCAACCTGCTGGCAATGCTCTTCTTAATGCAGGATACCATTGGCCACCTCTGTCACAAGGGCACATTGCTGGCTCATGTCCAGCTTGTCCACCAGGACTCCCAAATCCTCTGCAGAGCTGCTTTCCAGCAGGTCAGCCTCCAGCCTATCCTGGTGCAAGAGGTTATTCTCCCCTAGGTGCAGGACCCTGCACTTCCCTTTATTGGACTTCATGAGGTTCCTCTCTGCCTATGTCTCCGGCCTGTCAAGGTCCCTCTGAATGGCAGCACAGCCCCCTGCTGTATCAGCCGCTCCTCCCAGTTTTGTAGCATCAGCATACTTGCTGAGGGCGCACTCTGTCCCTTCATCCAGGTCATTGATGAGTAAGTTGAACAGGATTGGAGCCAGTATTGACCCCTGGGGGACACTTCTAGCTACAGGCCTCCAACTAGATTTTGTGCTGCTGATCACAGCCCTCTGAGCTCTGCCATGCAGCCAATTTTCAGTCCACCTCACTGCTCATCTAGCCCATACTCCCTCAGCTTTCCTGTGAGGATGTTATGGGAGACAGTGTTGAAAGCCTTACTGAAGTCAAGGTAGACAAAATCTACTGCTCTCCCCTTGTCTACCCAGCCAGGCATCCCGTTGTCAAATCCTATCAATCAGGTTAGTTAAGCGTGATTTCCCCTTTGTGAATTCATGCTGACTGCTGATCACTTCTTGTCCTTCATGTGCTTGGAAAGGGGGAAAGGGTATCCAGGATTAGCTGCTCCATCACTGAAGTCATTGAAGGATATAAAATAAAATGAAGATAGAGGTTTGGTAAGGTCGTTTCAAGTACAGCTCAGGGTGTATCTACATGGTAGTCTCACCATCACTGCATCGCAGTGTAAATATACCCTGATAGCTTTAAATGTACTGCTGCCAGCCTAGTCATGGCATCACGGACATTGGGATAGACTAACGGTCCCAGGATTTACTCAGCTTCTGATGCTTGTAGAAGCAGCTCATCTGCTAACTGATACCTCAACTAAGTGACAGCCTGCTTGCAGAAAATCTGCCTGAGCTCTCGAGGCACTATTGGTAAAGCCAAAATCAGCACAACCCATAGTTAACACGTTCTGTGGGCAACTTTGCTCTTAATTCTTGTTCAGAAATATTCATTATTAAAACTAAGAAGAGAATAAAAAAAAGTATCAGCACCATCCATCAAATACAACAGATATTTATAAGATTACTTGAAATTCATCCTGACAGCAGCATTTTTGTCTTTGAATTAGAACAGGTTTTTCTTTTTTCTGTCTTTTTCCCTTTGCTACACATAGGGAAGCAGAAAAACTTGAATGTTTTGACATTTAAAACTAAAAAAGCTGTAATTTGGCAGCTGTGTCTCTCAGTGAAAATATGTAATATCTATATATAAACATGTATATTCAAAGAACAAACCAGAGTGTATGACAGAGTAGCACACTTGTAAATTTGTTTTTGAAGTCCTTTGTTTTGGCAATGATAGATGTTCAGATCTGGAACACTTGTCATAGTTTCCAGAATTGCCCTGACCATTTTTAATGCACATAAATAATTGAATAGAATAATAATGATAAAGAAAAAGTTTAGAAACTCTGCAGTTATGGTAGCTGAGGTACTTGGAAAGAAATATAAAAATTAAAAAAGCTACATTATGATTACACTAGAGTTCTTGTTTACACTTTGAAAGCAGTGAAATTCAGATTTAATGTTGCTCTCTTTTTAGCTTAACCTAATTCAGTCAAGCTCTGTACTCAAGTTTCATTGTCAGTGGGAAGCACTAATGTAAATGAGAATCAGGTTTGGGGAGAACACTTTCAAAACTATGCAGATAATTTAGAAGACTGAGAACTAACTTTCAGAGGTATTTAAGCATCTAGAGAAGGAGATGATGTCCAGTGGTGTTTTCAGGAAGTACCTTACGCAAGTACCAAATTCTTATGGAAATCAGTGGGCATTAAGCACCTTATCATTCTAAGAATTCTGCCTGTCAATCTGCATCTTAGGTACCTGAATACTTTTGTAATCTGGCCCAACTAATATTTTCAAAGATGCATGGAAGAGCCTAATTCCTCACCCCTGCCCCCAACTTTCAGCTCTTCCAAAAATGGGCCCCTTTGCCACATTTTAGCCTTTGGATGTAATTCAGAACTGAAGACCAGCTGAGTGGTGATGTAATCCATGTTGTAAGGTCAGATTGTGTTAAATAGCTTGGAGTAACATGCATAGGTTTGGTTTCAGTATTGGAGAAGAATAAGTGTTATTGACAAGGGAGGTGGAGAAGGAATACTCCGTAGCATGTGAAACAACTAAATGGAAGACATAAAATGAAATAGGGCTGAGCTGTCTTTTCATTCATCTTACATGTTATTATAGACTAAATTAGTACTGATTTTGATTTCCGTATTACACTGAGATTAGATAGGGTCCAGTTAATAACTGTTATTTTTGCTAGGCTCATATCTGACTTTTATGTCAGGGGGAAGCAGAAGCAGGTCCCACTCTAGGGGAAGACAAGCCAGCAGCTGAGGGTAGCAGCAAGGCAGGCAGGGGCAGTGACCTCGCCGGCAAGGAGTGCAGTCCCACAGTATCCAAACAAGAAGAGCAGAGCATGTCCAGTGAGGGTAGCCACTTCCTTCGATAGTCTAGACCCCCAGGAATGTCCACAGTGATGCAGTAGGTCTGAGGTCAAGCCAGCACCCTAAGTCAGCAAGGCAGGGTCATGGCTGGGTCCAGTAACAGTAAGCAGGGTCAGCCAGCGGCCCAGTGATCACCCAGCAAGTCTCCAGTGATGAAGCAGGTCTGAGATGAAGCTATGACATCAAATCAATGAGTTGGGGCAGAGTGAGTTGAGTCAAACTTGAGTTGAGACTAGTGAGACTAGTGAGATGCATAGCCAGGCACAGCTATAGCCGCAGCATAGCTCAGTCAAGAGCAAGTAGGTCAGCTTAAATGCAGCTCCCAGGCAAAGGGGGAAAGGCCCCTATGGAGGCTTCTTGCAGCTCTTTCTCACGCAGCTCTTTTCACAGCAGTTTAATCTGAGGTTACACAGCTGCACTGTACCAAAACAGGCCTTGAGCACAGGCAGCTAAACCGCTGCAGGGGTGGTAC